TGTCTCACGGGTCCGAAAAGCTTCTAATTCCTGGGTATTACCGCATATAAAAATATAGAAGACACAAGATACTGACATAAGATATTGACACAAGATATTGACAGATACTTAGCTATCTATCCATGCAACAGTATGAAAATCTGACAAAGTAGCACAGGTAGAACAAAGGATTTTAGTACAACATGTACAATACTGCTGTATTTTATAATGGTAGGATATTCTAATAAAAGGATTAGGGCATACATCTGTGTTTTCATTTTAAACGGGTGGGATATTCTGATGGAGGAAGTAATATTCTTGTGGTTTCGTTGCGTATATAAATTATTCCAAAGCTATTATAAGCATAACTCCTAAGCTTCGACTTCAGTTCCCAAAAAATGTTATCCAATGGTAATATTTAACATTAGCACAACCTGCTATAGTTATGGATTTGTAAAAATGATGGTAGCAGTTTTAGACTCGTAGCACCGACAGACATAGCTATCTGGCAGTGGCACAGTAGGAAAATCTGGAAGCACTAATAGTCAGGACAGGCTGTCGCAGGGAAACTGCCATCTTTCAAATGGGAAAGATGAACAGCGGACCAATTAAATGAGTTCAGGGGCGTGTCTGAAAATGTGGCATGACGGGAGGGGCTGAAAGAGAGTGGAAAACAGCGCATGTAACTTTGTGAAACGAGTGGGTTGTCACAATGTGTTTATGATATAAATTTTTTCTTCCATGTATAATGATCAGTGTTTCCTAACATAGAAATCAAATTATTTGTCTTGCAGTAAAGCTGTGTTGAATCACCATCTTTGGCTTGCTTTTGTTTCTATTTTCTTGTGGAATATGAAACTGATGGGGGCATGGTCGGATATGATGATTGGATGAATAGTTGGGTTGGAAATATCTGTTATCAAAGAGTTGTTGGTAATAAAGTAATCAATTTGTGAAAATGATTTATGGATGAAAGAAGGATTTTTTTTCCTTGAGAGGAATCTGTTCACTCTCACGCTGGGACACACACGCACGCACAAATGGTGTGGTGAGCATGGCAGGGCCACCTGCAAAGAGAATGTTTATTGCTGATCCCAGGGCTCTGTTGTGTCTCCCGAGACACAGTGTTAAAGTTAGAGGTATTACAACATTCTAAATCTATTTAAACTTCTCAAGGAAAGGTGACAAAATGTATGATATTCTGGATAGTGATTATCTATGACTTATTGTTTTCAAACTTTATTTGTATTCTTCTTAAAACTCAGAGGTCAGAAGGAGTTTACGAAAACTGGGTGCTGTTCTTAATACTCATAGATGTGTCACGAAGATGGTTAGCAGATATCCTGACAAACCTGTGCCAGCTCTTAAATTGTACCTAGCAGAGAAAATGTTGATTGCTGATCCTTTATCTTTAAATATCAACCTGTATTTTTAAAGCAGAGAGGATTGTTTTACATAGGTGAGGGGCAATCACATAGCTCTGAATCATGGGGGAGAAGCCCCTGTCCCTGCTGCAGCACAAGACAGGCCTACTTCTCCAATCCTGTGCCAGCACTTAGAGTGTAGCAGTTAGAGTAGAATTATTATGCAGGTAAATGTGTTTTTTATTAAACTAATCCTTTTTTTATGTCTCGAAAACAAACAAGATTTCCTGCTTTGGTATATCTAATGGAATTTACCAAAACAAAGTGACAGAAAGATGGCGAGCAAATGTTCTACAAAGAGAACGTTTCTTAAGTTTTTTGAGAGGGGAGAGGCGATGGGGGGGTAGGGGGGCATCCGCTCACCGGAAATTAAAAGCAACTAATTATTAGGGTCATAAATCACTCCATTGATTAAATTTTGTCATAAGGATGCTTATTTGTCTCTCTTGTATTGTTTAATGATTTGGATTGCATGACAGTTTTATGTGTGGTTTGAGTTCTTGGAGCTGTTTATTGTTGGGTGAAAGACTGTGTTAAAGTCTCCACATATAATTGTGACTCATGTAGAAACATTATGTAAAATTAAAAAATTATGATAGAATGTGAGGTCATCCATGTTCGGACCATAAATGCTTGTAATTGTTACATTGATATTAATTATATATTTATATTTATCATATTTTTCATTAAAGTCACAAAACTCAACTTAGCATTACAAGCCTGCTGCTTTTGGGTCCACTCTTTAAATACATCATGACATACCTGATTGTACATAGAACAACCTTTCCCCAAACAGGATTTTTGCTATACTTCTACTCAATTTTAAATTATATTGTGTGAAATAACTTTTGATACATTGTTGCATAATACATTAAGTATGATAAACTAAGTATTTCACAAGATAAACTTGTGAAATATAGACAAAAAGGAGTCTTACGAGTAGCTGTTGTGCTGCTGTCGTCTCCGGGCACTCCTCATCTTCTCAAAACGAGCCTCCATTTCCTCCAGAACCTTAGGAGTGTAGCGGACCACCAATTTAACTGACCCCTGGGCAGCCTTCAGTAGCTCCACAGCCTTTTCATGTTGCTCCGCCTCTACGCTCTGCACAGACACCACACCTCTGTCAGTTCTGGTATACACACCAGAACTGACAGCAGCGTAACTTTTTGACCAGGCATTGTGGTCACGCATTCACCACAATAACAGATCATTGTGGTGAATATGCCACATTCACCATAATGAAAGTGGCACATTACTTGTGGTGAATGCACCACTTCAGTCTGGTTGTGCACTGACCAAACAGTCCAGTCTTTGGGTAGTTTCATAGAAAGCTTACCACTCCATTGACAGATAGCAGCTGGTCTCCTCTCTTCAGTCCTCCTTGGCGATCAGCCACTCCTCCAGGGATAACTCTGGAGATGTAGATAGGGGAGTTCTGTTCTTTCCCGCCCATGATGTTAAAGCCCAGGCCCTCTTCTGTTTTGGGCAACTCCACCACCCTCGGGTGGGCATGACCCTCACTGGCTGCGAAGGCTGCAACTGTGGCCTAAAAAAGTAAGAAGTGAGATATGTTAAATTTCTGTGTATATATGTGTATATATACACACATATATAT